AGGTGTACTCAGAGTAAGAAAATGTGTTATTTCAGTGATGATAGGTGTTGTAGCTTTTTGCTCTTGTCCTTTTTGCATTGTTATTTGGTGCAGATGTTTACCACACTGACTGCCTTAGAGTGTTTTCACTTCAAATCTTTAGAAATTCAGAGTTGACATTAGCCAACAGTATCAGATTTTCTTTGTCACCCCTAAGAATAGAGGAGATCTTACAATCCAAAAAAATAACCATTACAGAGAACTAGTCAGAAATGTGCAGGAGAGATATGCAATATAATTAATCATTCCAGGGTATATATTATCTGAGTATTTTTGATGTTTCAAGGTCTCCTGTGTTGTTTACAAGTTTACTTCTCTGAAAGCAAATACTTTTTTGTTTCTTTTTTTATGATACAGAACATTTGTAAAAAATGTGCCTGTTTTGCACGAACAGCTTCAGAGCACCACTACTATGAACACATTAGATGAAGAACTGAACTGTCCTAATGGAAGTGCTTTCATGTCACATTGCACGCTGGAATTTAGTCTCTTGAAACTCAATATTTTCTGTATACCATGTTTCCCTGACAGAAAGAATCTCCTAGGATATACAATGGCTATCAGCTTGGTATTATTTAGCATCAGGTGACCGTGATGCATAATAGGAAATCTGGCTAAAATAAGAAACTCCAAATACAGACAAAAGAGCACCTAGACAATACCTCTATTTACATACTGCAGCAGAAATGGCTTAAAAGCCTTACACTTTACAGCTGTAGTTATAATGCTGATAGCATGCTATTATGCAGTCTTATTATCTTGAGTTAGAATTACTGTTTTTCACTCTTACAACAGGTACTCTTTGCAAACTTTGCTAACTTTGATTCTCATATCTGGGTGGTCAGCATCACCACTTTTAGTTGCCTTCTCATACAGAAAAATTGTAAATTTGCTGCAGTTTATGCAAAATGGAGTCTGACAGCATTGCAGCTGGACAAACATCTCACAAAGAGGCTAAAAAAGACCAGTGCTGTCTTCCATGGTGCTTGCAGCCCTTCCCAGTGTGACTCCTGGTTATAGCTGTGGGCTCATCGTGACAGCTAAATGAACCCAAGTCAAAACCCAGGATATGCAGCATCTGCCACATCTGTGGCAGACTCTTGGTCTGGAGGACAGGAGGATTGGGGCTGCAGAGAAGCACCTCAGCAGGCTCCTGCAAGGGGTCGCGGCCAGGGCAACTGCATCGAGAAAGTAGTTCTCCTCTTGCTGCATGAAGCCACTTCTTGTTCTTTGCAGTTCTAGTGAAAGAGCTCATCTATTGAACCCAGTTGCCAGCAGCACTTCAGAGCAGTCAGGTCATCCCAATCTCCCAGAAATTCATTATACTTTGGGTACACACAGTACCTGTGCTGCATGTCAGGTTGATGCTAGATGTCAGTACCTTATTCCTAGTGGTAGTCATTAAGTTCTGTGTACGCAGAGATGCAAACTGATTCCACGTCAGGGGTGCAGACTTTGCAAGCCTTCAAAAGTTAGGTTCTTTGCTCTGCCTCTTTGCARATATCATGTTGCTGGCCCTTGGGAGAAACCAAAGCAAGTTTTTGCTTGCTTTACTTTTTGCACCATGCCAAATGTCATATTTGTGTAAAGCTGGAGTTCCTTCTGCTGCCTTCTGATCTGCCAGCTAAGCAAGCAGCCTCATCCCCCAGAGCACCCTTTCCACAACGTGCTCCACCTTGCCTTGCCCACAGCACAAAAAATTAAAGTCTGTCCTGCACCTGGTTCCTTCTTGGGTAGCCACACTCGGTGCTGATACTTGCTGCTCTTGCCTTTAGGCCTGTGAACCCACGTGGGTTTTAACRTCAGCTTAACATAAGCATATGTATCACAGAATCACAGAACCACAGAATCACTGAATGGTTGAGGGAAGGGACCTCTGGAGATCCTCTAGTGCAACCCCCTGCTCCAGCAGGCACACCCAGAGCAYGGSRCACAGGGCGGCATCCAGGCGGGTTGGGAAGATCTCCAGAGAAGGAGACTCCACAGCCTCCCTGGGCAGCCTGTGCCAGGGCTCAGGCACCCTTACCTTGYCCATGTGGAGATGGAACTTTCTGTATTTTAATTTATGCCCATTACCCCTTGTCCTATCACTGGCCACCACTGGCAATAGCTCGGCTGTGTGCTCTCTACATTCTCCCCTCAGGTATTTGTACACGTTGATATGATCCCCTCTCAATCTTCTCCAGGYTGACCAGGCCCAGATCACTTAGTCTTTTCTCAAATGCTAGATGTTCCCTTAATGATAGAGTGCCCTTAATCATCTTTGTCGCTCTCCGCTGGACCCTCTCTAGAAACTCCACATCCCTCCTGTCCTGRGGAGCCCAGAGCTGCCCCCAGTGCTCCAGGTTTGGCCTCCCCAGAGCTGAGCAGAGGGGCAGGATCCCCTCCCTGCCCCTGCTGCCAACATCCTCCTCATGCAGCCAGCCAGGAGGCAGTTCTTGGCCACAAGGATGCATTGCTAGCTGCATACATATGTATGTAGGGAAATAATTATGCTCATGGCTGGATAAGGGTAAAATGAGATGCCACCCCACAAAACTCTGAAGAGTTTTTGAGGTGGCACTCAACTGTAGGATCCTAAGGTAAATATATGTGGTAGGAAAAGAATAAAGAGTCTGGATGGGAATCTTTGCAGTAAAGTAGCACTGCTATTCAAACATATTTTTAAATCAGTGAAGCAAAGGTATATTATTTTTAGTTTTCTAGCCCTCCGGCCATCTTATCTGATTCAAAATCTAACTATGCTATAATGCCAAGGTTTATTTTCTTTGTGTCAAGAACGTGGTTAATTGCTGCTTATGCATTGAATTGTGAGACTAAAACAACTGGATTAGGAAGCAAGAGAAAGAGAAAGAGAAAGAGAAAGAGAAAGAGAAAGAGAAAGAGAAAGAGAAAGAGAAAGAGAAAGAGAAAGAGAAAGACTAGCCCATGGGAGGAGAACAAGATCCTTTGCTATTCAGACTGGGGAACTGCAGTACAAAATAAAATTATACTACTTTTACAGGCGTTTTAGATACAATCTCATTCCTCAGCCAGTGCTTCAGTTTCATCTGGATAAATCCTTCAAACAATATAAATGGCAAATTCCACAATTTGAGCTAAATTTCTGCAGTCATATTTGCTGTGATTCAGGATAATTTCAGAAAGCTGATTCTATTAAAATTGCATTTAAATAAGAAAACGGGAGTGGGGAGTAAAATTTGAAATCTGGTACTATAGAACAGATTTTCTTGAATTGTGTTTCTTTAATCAACYTTTGCTGATTTGCCTTAAAAAAGAAAATCTGTTTAGTCTTCATCATCTCTTTATTATAACATGCCCAATTATCTGTTAGGGTCTTTTTACTACAAAATAAGGCAACTTACCATCTTGAGATGAGATTTCCAGCTGTCCTTCCATGAAAGAATGTGGATGGATCCCCTCACTTTTTAAACATACACTTTTAGTTCTCTTTAAGCCTGAAACAGTTCTTCCATCAGAAAGCCTAAAGATAGCAGTGACCTGTTAAGTGAATCCTGTAAGGATTGTGCTGGGCAAGTTTCATTGTCACCACAATACCCCAGAGTTCTTTTGTGGCTTTGTTTTTTCTTTTCTTTTTTTTTCAGTACCTCACTACTGACTTTCAGCATTTTCAGCCTCTTAACTATGCCAGTAAAATAGATATCTTTTATTTGAAGGACACTCCTATAACAGTGATTACAGTGAGCATACACGCATGTACATTCATTTTTATATTATGCTATTAAATTCAATTACCGTATGACTAAAGAAACACTCATATTTTGGGTTCCAAAATACCAGGTCCATTCTTTGTGTTCAGGCTGACTCAGAGGATATGGATGAATAAATGATGACATTCTTGGTCCTCTTTATTTCCCATTCATGCGTCTGGTTAACGCATCTTTTAGACTTGGCTTCTTTTTGAATGTGATCTCTGCTCTGTAAGGTTCTGCAACAGCATTTCAGTTCAGTCCTATGACTTCTACTTGTTTCCTTGTTAAAAGGTATTTCATTTAAGCAATGTCAGAAACCCAAAGTTTTGTGAGTTATACTCACAAAGTTTTGTGAGTTTTACAGATACAGAATTAAGAATTCTTAAGAATTAAGAATTATTTCTTTTGCTACAACATGATTTATCCGTGCAGCTAATGAACTCATACTGGAAACTTTCTGAGAAAGTCTTTCTTTACCCATTCACATGGTTTGAAAGACAAATACCTGTCTTCAAATACTTCTCTGAGAARTTTGCTATTAATTTCAGTGATAGCTCAGGCCAGCATTGAACATCTTATTTCCCCATATGTCCTGTATTCCATGTTACTAAAAGATTGTGGTTTCACGTTAATTTTAAGGTACCTTAATCCTGTGCTGTCACAGAAAACTGGAATCTATTCCTCTCCTTATTCTTCTACATCTCATATTGGTACTTTCATCTTTTGCCCCTCGCTAGCACTAGTGTCTTTGTTCAGCCAGAATCCATCTGGGAAGTAATTTGAGTAAAACAGAGAAAAATACTGCTGCTCTGATCTGAATCGCCTTAAGGTCATGCAAATGCCCCAGTCAGGGCTGAGCTGCCAGGGCTGGGCAGCTGCACAAACTCAGGCAGATATAAGTGACTGTGAGCTCAAATCCATGTTTATTTAAACACRGTAGCAAAAATTCATTTGCAGAATGAAACATCTGAACATTTTCACAAGACCTGCTGTTATTTTCACTTGCAAATGCACAAAAAGTTGAGTATCCTTTGGCTTTGCTGAGAAACCAAAACATTTTGCAACAGACATTTTTAGAAATTAAAAAAAAAAGAGCGAGTGAGTGAGTTAGGTATGATTGGAAAGAAAATATGTTTTTCTGAAAATCTGCATTTTCCAACAACTTTAATGTTTTCAGCATTTTGCTATTGCAAATCAGTGTTCACCAGGGTGCTTCATGCAAGCTGTTTTCTCCTTTTCGCTTCTCAGATCGAATTGCACAGAATATCATTAAATCTCATTTGGAGACTTGTCAATATACAATGGAGGAACTACACCAGCTAGCATGGCAGACTCACACGTATGAGGAAATTAAGGTCTACCAGAGCAAGGTACAGTCCTGCAATACACTTTTTTTTACTTCTTCTCCTCATCTTTTGAAATTGTTACCAGTGTAACATATTAGGCAAGGATAAACAGATGAGTTTCTTTTTCAAGAGTTAAAAATAAGTTTTTAAATGCTTAAGCAGCATCTTTCCAGCCTATTACAATACTTGCTGATGTCAAGGCTTGGGAGAGGCTATAAAATCCAGCGTTCCATTCACCGTTACGTTAGACCTGAACTTTTTGCAGAATTTCAGTTGACTTTAATGTAGTCAGCATTGGCCCCTCTCCACTGCAAGAGCTTTCAGAAAATAGGACTAAACAACTTTGTTTTACATCATTTTGAAAACTGTTAGATGTATCCCCTTTTAAGTGAGTAATAATATTTTCCGTACAAGCAAAGTAAACATCAGTCACTTTTGGATATTTACAAGGATGCAAACAAAGTGCTCTTAAAGRGGCAGTTGTTCAAAAGCGACTGGAAAACTGGCCTAATTATATTTTCAGTCTAACTCTATGATTTGCAGGTCAAGCTGGTTYGGAATATTGCTCACTAGCAGCTCTTCAGATGTAGACCAGTCCAGCAAAACCCTGCTGTGTTTTTCGTGCCTCCTCACTTGTAACATCACTAGCAATGAGTCTGCAACCAGAATTCAGTTGACACATTAGCTGATCAAGCAACAGACATCAGCGAGCCCAACCTGCTCCTAGAAAGCTTTGTGTGTTTGCAGGTCTGGCAGGAATAAAAACACATTACAGCTTACAAAGCTGTGGCACGCAACCCAACAGCATCAATGTGCCTGTGCGCACAAATGGACAAGGAAACTAAATATCAAGGAGATAAAAATCTKGTGTAATCACTATTCAGATTGCAATGATACTTTAATGATTAAAAAAAAAAATTAAGCTAGCATGAGTAGATGACCTGCCAGCACTGATCCACTTCCTCTCTAACAAAACTCTGAGGTATTTACATTGTTTGTGTCCCTGTTTGCATATCCTACACAAAAGCCGGTATTAAAGTCAGTGGATTGCACTGACCAGTTCAGCCCGTCTTTTGAAGAGGCAATGCCAGAGTTCACATCCCAGACAAATGACTTGTGCAAACAGCCTTCTAATGAGAAGTGTCAGGCAATTTATTAAATAGGGATGCCCTAGCCCTAGCCTGCCTTGGGCAAAATCCATGGGTTGCACTTTTCTGCCCAGCCACCTGAAATCCTTAATGCTCTAATGAACCCGCTTGCTTCTTGCTTTGCTTTTCATGCATGTTCCCGGGAAGACAAGAGAGGCTCTGTGGCAGCAGTGTGCCATCCAGATCACCCATGCCATCCAGTACGTGGTGGAGTTTGCAAAGCGGATAACCGGCTTCATGGAGCTCTGCCAGAATGACCAAATCCTCCTCCTTAAGTCAGGTAGGTTCACCCCAACAACCATATATCCCCACAGCCCACTAGATGTGTACTCTCCTGTCTTGTTTGCCAGGGCATTTTAATTTTTAAAGCAAGGCAGCCCCTCCATCCATTTCACCCGACGCATCAACACGTCAGTAACGTTACTTCCTTCTGGTCCTCTCCCTCTACCGCCATTTGTGGTGATTTAGTACACATGTACATATAATCATCACAAAAACTGCAGTCTCCAACCTGACATGTAGTGGAAGAACCTTGCAGATTCGGCTGGTCGCATCTCTCATCTGCTACCCCTTAAGACCTTGCTTGTCATTAGCGGAGCGAGTGCCGGGGCCTGCCTCTGTGGTCATCTTTAATCTTTCTAATGAGGCCGCCGCAGTAGCCTGCAGCCAGCGCGCAGAGGGAAAATCCCTGCTGGCGCCAGTTGGTGTCGGGAGGGATGAGAGCGGATTAGGGCAGCGCCGGGCCCCCGAGCACGCGTGTCAGTGCGTGCATGCTGGAAACGGCATGGGGAGCGTGGTGCTGCCACGGTGTGGCCTCAGGAACTTCCATCCTCTGGATAAGGCCTGTTGTGACTATGGAATAGCACCTTTTAACTGGGAAGGATGAAATGGTGTTAGCAGATGAGCTGCTGCAGGTACCACATTTGCACAAATTTTGTAATCAGCTGCATTAGAAGGAATTTCTTGTTCCCTCCTCATGCCAGAGGAGTCAAGGCAGCTCATCAAAGCATAAAACACACTGCTTCTTTCCAAGGAAAACTCTTCTTAAAACCTGCGAGTTGGAGCAGCTCCGAGCACCGTGCCCAGGGCCACAAGGGAGCGTGGGGCAGAGCCAGGGCACTGGGGGCACTGGGGGAGACGTGGGGACCCAGGGCGCACACATGCAGACGCCTGCAAAGGGAGAGGCTCTTCGCTTGAGACTTCATTTCCAAAGCTCAAACCAATCCCAAAACTTCTGCAGATGCTTTTGCACCTGAAGTAGCTTCATTCACTTGCCTGGCAAAACTAACAACACAATTGCACCTTAAGGAAAAAGATTTACTTGGCCATACGGTTGGACAGCTCTGGTTAGCTTCAGCATGTCTAAACATGTCAGGTTTTATTTTCCATTTTGATGTTAATGCTAAGCAGGAGAAGTTGGAAAATCAGGCCTTTTCACTCAAAAAATATGTGTGTAAAAGAACCCCCAGATTCACAGTTTCTCTTACAAGAAATTTAGATTTAGGCAGGGAAATTTAAATTTAGAGAAATCTGAAATTGTTTTTCTCTTCAWTTTTTTTTTCAAAACTGCATGTTTTTACATATAGGGAGAAAGAATGAGGAGAAAAAAAAAAGAAGTTTCTAGGGCCATTTCTTAACCAGATAGAAAAATAAGAGAAAGAAAATGTAATAAAGAAAATGTAATTTAGGAGGGTGTTTTTTGATAGTTCTTTAATTGTTATTTTCTCTCTAAATGCACTTTGTGATGTTACCACTCCTTCARCTATATGAAGCTGGTATTCATAACCATACTGAATGAAACTCCATTTCATATAAAACCTATGTATTTAAAAAGACAACAAATTAATAATTTTCATGAGAAAATACATCTTGTGGGAAATATTCACTCAAATACGAGCTTGCCGATTTGCTACAATGAAGAAAGTAAAATAAAAAAAAAAAGAGGGAGGAATGGGCTTGCTCTGAAAATTTCTCCTTTCTCTTGTCAACTCAGTAATATTGCTCCCATCAGTGAGGGAGATCTCATTTATGCATCTCAAAAGAGTGTCTGTGCCACTCTAATGGTGCTTCTATTGGCTGATGTTTTCCTAAATATTTTCTTGAAACTTCCCATATTCTGAATTTTTCAGTAATGCATGGCACTTTTGCTCTTTTTTGTGTCCCACAGGCTGTTTGGAAGTGGTTTTGGTGAGAATGTGCCGTGCCTTCAACCCACTCAACAATACTGTTCTGTTTGAAGGAAAGTATGGAGGGATGCAAATGTTTAAAGCCTTGGGTATGTTTGTTTCTTTATTTTCAATCATTGCACTTAACCAAATGGTGGCAGATTTGTCTTTCTGGGCGTAGTGAATGCCACTGCATTCCTCTGCAGGTCTTCAGCAGATTTTGAATCCTGAAACCTCCATGCTTGACCTTAAAAAGTAACTCCATATCTCTTAACACTGAATAGTGATAATGATCATTTTTGATAATGAAAAAAAAAGCCTTGAGAGAATTCCATGAGAAAAAATTCCAATTTTGATCTCTAAATTTTGCAAGAAGAAGTTGTAGTGGAATCAAAATGATTTGTYGTCACATCTCAGTTATACATAATGTATAAAATCTCTCCCATTTATTGTGCAAAAGGAGTAAAGGGAAGCATTGCAGCAAATTTAGTTATGAAGCAATCAGGACTAAACTCAGAGAGAGTTACTTCCTTTACATGCATATATTGCTATATATATACATATATATGTATATGTTTATATTTTTCTTATTAACATATTGGTAAACATAGCACTACTATGGATTTTATGATTACCCACTTTATGGACAGGTAGATTTTATAAATGGAATATTTATCTGGGTTAATAGTAGATTTATTTTAATCTTTAGTGTACTTTAACAGTTTTTCAAAAATGTACTGTTCAGTAAATAAATGTTATGCATGGAAGTTATTTAAAGTTACTCATTTTGCTTTGGTATTGGTCATCTATGTCCTCTAGATTAATAGCTGTTTAATAATAATATTTCTTTCTGGGAAACATAAAACATTTCTTTTGTAGGAAAAAAAACCCKAAGATCTCTCTCTGCTTTTGGTAAAGTCATGTCCTTAACTCCTGATAACTTTTTTGCTTCATTGGGTGCTTTAGTGATACATGAAATAGCAAGTTTTCACACTAGGTAGAATTTTTATAGCTGATGGAAGACATCTCTTTCAGAAGTATGAATGTTGACTTCAAATTTTCTTTAATACCAAAACAAGCCATTTTTCAAGTCAAGTTAAAAAGCTGWTAAATTTCTGGCATTGACTTTATCTCCTGTGGTCTGTAGGTTCTGATGATCTGGTGAATGAAGCGTTTGACTTTGCAAAGAATTTATGTTCCTTACAGCTGACTGAAGAGGAGATTGCCTTGTTTTCATCTGCTGTTCTGATATCACCAGGTAATTATTCATTCCAGATACCACAAAACATCCCTCTTTTTCTTCCCTCCCATTCTTGCCCACCTGAATTTCTACTTACTTAAACAGTTGCTGCTTTTCTTTAAGTGGTGTTTTGAACAATTTGATGAATAAGTGTATTACCCAAAAGTACCACCCACTCTTTTTAGAAAATAGTGAGCAGTTACACATATTAGAAATAGTTTTGAAGTGTAAGGATGTCATCTTAAAAATTCTCAGACTATGCAATTATGCAAACGTATAGTCGTGCCCTCCCCCCCCCAAAAAAAAAAAAAAAAAAAAGTGTAATGTTTTCTACTTGAACTTAAACATAGGAAAAGATTGACTACATGGGAGTCAAGGGTCATCTCAGCATCTGTGGGCTCTGTCATAAGTCGAAAGGAGCTGGTGGCAGACCTGGAGCCAGGCTCAGGCCTGAGGCCCAGCTCGTGGCTCTCCACAGGGAGTGGCACAGTGCCTGCCTGAGGAGCTGCATGTTCCTCCCTGAATCTCCAGGGAGCTCCAGGTTTCTGCCCTTCGGTCTGAGGTAGACTCCTGCTGGAGGCACATGGATAAGGGGGTCCATGATTCTGGTAGGGTTGTCTGTGTGAGGATGAGAACAGGAATTATAAAATACTGCACGTGGTCCTGAATTTATCCTGAAGGGATTCCTCAAGGGAGTCCATGCATTTAGCCCCAGGGGAGACATGGCACATCTTGGGTCAGTGTGCTCTTTTGCACATGTTAACACAACACAGCGCTTCCCAGGCAAGTGTACCCTGAATCAGATCARAGTGTCTGGCCACAGGAAAGGAGCCTTGGGGACTGAATTGACTCAGGAGGTGGATCAGGCTGGCAGTTTAATGTGCTCGGAGAGCACCCCCCTCCACTAACTCCTGTTAAGAATAACTTCTTTAGAGCTCTTTACAGAAAAAAAAATCCCACTGCAAATTATTTCTCCAGCCTGTTCTTCTAACGGCTTCCTCTAGGTCACTTTGCCCTTTTGCACATCTGTGGTGGAGATTGCATTAGACAGAATTAGACTATCACAGATGGTGTCAACATGTTCATTCTCATCATTAAGAACAGCTCCTGAAAGGACTCTGCTCCTTTTGTTTTCCTTCCGAGCAGCCCTTGCGGCAGTGCACCGTCTCCTCTGTGCTGAGATGGATGAGCTGGTGGCTGCAGGAACAGAAGGGTTTGAGAGGCCCATCACGTGTGTACCTTGGCTGCATCTCTGCTRTATGTAGGAGTGACAGCTCTGGGATGTTGAATACTGGACATCCTCGTAGGTCACTGTCCACCGTCCCTCCACCAGTCTGAGAAGAACAAGCCTGTGACCACAACAAGGGATAGGCAGTGTGTTAGGTAGCAATAAATGATGCTATGTAGGGTTACATGCAGTCGGGGTTTGCACCTGTCCTGGGTAGCCTGTTAGACCAAAAAATTTCCAGATTGCTGAAAACAATGAGGCTGTGRAGTTCTTCAGGAACATAATAACAACAGAGAAAGCAGTGAAGAGGTTAGATGTTTATGGATTGCTTCCTACTATGAACCAACATAAATAAGAATCACACACAGGATCACAGAATGGTTGAGGTTGGAAGGGACTTTTAGACATCATCTAGTCCAACCCCTTGCTCCAGCACAGGGCACAGGGYGGCATCCAGGCAGGTTTGGATGATCTCCAGAGAAGGAGACTCCACAGCCTCTCTAGGCAGCCTGTTCCAGTGCTCTGTTACTCTCACAGTAAAGTTCTTCCTCACATGAAGAAAAGCTGCTGGAATCCTTGTAAGGAAGATCTGCATTTGCCTTTGTTAARATCTAAGAGGTGTTTTACTTTACTTTTTTTTTTCCTTTAAATGTCATAAATTGAAAAAAAGAAAAGCTAGCTAGTCAGAAGCAATAAGATTATTGCTGCTGAATTCAAAGCAATTTGGGTACGATAGGGACATTTCATCGGAGGAAAATGAGCCACTGGTATGATTTCTAGCCAAAAAGAAGTCAAAAGCTTTAAAGAAGACTTTAAAAGAAATCAGATTTCCGTCCAGAATCACATCCCAGGTAATTTTTGAAGGGAGCAAAAATTATAGTGCAAGCCAACAAAATCTAGYCCCAAAACCTTTCCAGCAGCAACATGACTCCTGTGCCTCATGCCTGGGTAGAGCCTATTCAAGGAATGCAGTGTTTCTCACTGACTTTAATGAAATTTGGATCAAGTCATTTAGGAAATGTGTTTAGCTGCAGGTAAGCACTAAATGGATGTCAAAATCCCAATTCAGGTTTTGTAGTTCTTCCCATGCCCTTTTCGTTCATGAGACACCAAAATCTCCTGCATTTTGCCAGCACTTCATGTTTCTCAAGAAGTCACGCTTCTTGTAGAACATYTGCAGCTGCATTAAGTGTTTGAAGAAGCCAGCGGCACGACACTGGCTTTGGGCCAGCTGTATGGCAGGCATGTGTTGTGAAAGCCTCCCCATTAGCTCTACTAATGAATTTCAGTCTTGATATACGGCAGTCCTGATGCAGCACTCCAGACCTGTGTCTTTCTTGAATAGCAGCTTCTGTTTCTGCCAAGCAGCACAGATAAGCAGAGGCAATTCCAAGTTTTTTTCACCACGATCAAGCTTGCAGGGGGTGCTGGTGGGATAAGATTAAATACTGCAGTAATTCACAGTTCCACCTGTCATGTCTCAGTTGGCTTTTCCTACATCCAGGCAAGAGGAAACATGTATTTTTCTCCTGTTTCGTTAACACAAATGTGAAAGCACACTTGATGCTCGCTGCTTCCTATAGACTGAAAGCATGTGTCTCTTCAGCCATGACAAAAGCAATTAAAAAAGAAGTGATGGGCTGAAGCAGCATGTATATTTGTAAAACAAACTCTTATGAGAAAAAAAATGCAAATTTTGATGGGGTAACTCCTAGGTCAGCTGGATTGTTTGAATTTGAGAAGACAATTAAATTTGTCATTTATTCTCWTGCCAAAATAATAACGAAAAATAGTAGAAAAAGAATCATTTCACCCCACACTAGTTGTTCCAGGTAGTTTGAAGAGTCTCTGTTTCATTTTATAGAAGTTAAAAAAATGGAGCATTGGTCCATTTAAGTACTGTCCTGTCCTTCCACCACTGGTGTAGGAAATAGACATTTCCTTAAGTGAAATACATAGATTCATTTTATTCTCTGTTCAGAATTTTCTCTTTTCACATGAGTGTCATAACCACCATGCTGGTGGGCAATTATTTGGTTTACTTTCTTATTTCTAAGCTTAAGACATTGTAGAATGACCCCAGCAATGGATGCTGAAACATCTCTACCAACAAACACTTTGATCCCTGCACTGTACTCCTCCTTCCTCTGAATTTCTGAATAATCACTTTCGGTTTTTCCCATCTTCCTTTTTGCAAAAGRAGAGCTTCTGATTTGACCTTTGTCTTCTGTTCAGCATTATAATTTTGCCTAGTAGCCTATACACTCTTCATATAGATGAATCCAAATTCCTACAGGAAAAGCACAGAGCTGAATTACTATTTTTCATACTCTTATCACTAGTCACTTATTTATTGACTTATTTTTCCTACACTTTTGTGAATATAACTAGAGGTATCTCTGGAATTMCAGCCAAATTTACGGATAGTTTTTAGGTTTTAGAAATCACATTTTGGGGGTCAAACTTAATATCCACTGTAAGAGTTTCACCTGGCTCTTGTCATAAATTTAACCACTCTTGCACTATATAAAGCATACTCTGTGACAGGTAATTTATGAAACCTCTGCACCAACAGCTTCAGTCTATTTTTAAGCTTATTTCTGTCACAGAAAGATAAATCTTTAAGGACTGCTATCTACAATAAATCTTTTTAGCTTCAGTATGCCTCAGTAGGCCTTGAATTATCACTATTGAAATGCATGTTTTGCAATAGCGTAAAAATCTGTTATCTAACCTGAGTCTAAATGCTTCTGTGTGCTCACTTCTGTGCGTGCCCTGTACCCTCTTAGCTAATTCTTTTTCTATGCCCACTAATGTAACAGAAAAGCAGAGTGATTTTCTCTAAGCACCTGGTAAGTATCTGAAAATTTGGTGATTTGTCTTTTTTTTTTTTTTGAAGTTTTGATCATGTACACTTTCCATGACCTCTTCCCTGCATTGTATCCGAAAGTGGCTTCCRTACTGAAATACTCTTGTGATCTAGTCTGAATGACAAGCATCTCATTGAAATGGTTCACCTACAGTATATATATGGAATATTTTAGTAACTGAAGGGGAGAAACAAAGAAGAGCCCTGAATAGAAAAAAAAATGTTTTCTGTACCTTCTAATTCACGACCTATGACAAAATGGATTATATTTCATTTCTTTTTTGGAAGCTAAATTTGTACCAAGCTTCAGTTTGTTTTCTGAGAGCTGGAGAAGGAAAGAAGTTTGCAGCATGGGAACATTATGGTTTACTGATGCAGTAAACACATTGCTTTCATATTTTCAGAATTATCTGGAGGTCTGCTACTTCACTTTGTGTGCAGTTGTTTTAAGAAGCCATGGCTTGTGAGAACACAGATCTTAAGACCTCCTACACACGTTGAAATCAATGGGGATTTGAGTATGGGAGAAGCCATATACAGTAGCAAACAACTGTATCTGTAATTGTTATTCTCATAGATAATCTTTTATTTTGTGTTGTTTAAAAAGAGAGCATTTCTAAATAATGAGAAATCTGCATTTCAAGATGTCGCAACAACTCATAATTCTGTTGAATTATTAAAGAAATTCTTTTGAAGGAAGCCATTTCTTTTTATTCAGAATATAATATTTGGTCTCAAAATGTTAGCCTAATAAATAATGAGATATATTTTGTTTTAATTTTTAAATAATTATGTTCTGTTACTTTCAAAGGACTGACTGTTTTGATTAATATGTTTATTACTTATGGATTAAAAAGTCACTGGGATGACATGATGTGTTTTTCACCTAAGCARCATGAAGCTAGAAAAACACTGACTCTAGCAAAAGAGAATAATTAAATGCTTGGACCTTGTTTTATTTCTACTCCATCTTTCTCTCCTCTCTCAAACAAATGAATGTAGAGCAACACTGTGTTGCTCTACATTTTATATGTGTTAATTAAACTCTCAGGTGATCCTTTAATGGATTGAGAGTTCTGCCTCTGAAGCCATGTGTTAATCAACTTACACTCAAGAGACCTGTGGTTGCTGTGAATGCCCACGGGACGCTGTGTCCATCTGTGAGCATGTCCCACTTCCATGCTTTTCTTGGCTTGAGTCCCTACCTTTCTCTTTCTCAGATCGAGCCTGGTTGATAGAGCCAAGGAAGGTCCAAAAGCTTCAGGAAAAAATATACTTTGCACTTCAACATGTGATCCAGAAGAACCACCTTGATGATGAGACTTTGACAAAGGTAAATTGTTAAAAAGAAAGACCAGGTACTCTGAGGTTATATATCTCTTTTAGTAGCAACTCCTCTGTGCATTGGTACATTAATGCAAAGAGTGATGCATTAATGCAAAGGAGTAAACCATGTGTTTGCACTGTGTAGAGAAGAAGGGAGGTTTGTTCCTGTGCTCCAGTCCCTGGATGTCTTTCTTTTTTCTTTTTTGTCCAAACCTGTAATGACTTGACTTAGTGCCCTTAGGTGGGACTGCTTTATAAAAACATCCCTGGAGGTTGGAGATGTGTCCTTCTTCGTAGACATGTTCTTTGGCACTTGACTAAAATTCTCAGGATATTTTTGTTTAATTCTAATGCTAGCAGCAATTTCTGGTACGTTGGATGGGTGGTTCTGATTGAGCTCAGGGTACTGCATTCAGTCGGACAACAAGATGCTMTCTAAATTCATTTTAGAAAATGTAATTTAGACTAAATTTATTTCAATCTGCTTCCTTTTTTTTTATTTTTTATATCTCACAGTTAATAGCCAAGATACCAACCATCACTGCACTTTGCAACTTGCACGGAGAGAAGCTACAGGTATTTAAACAATCTCATCCAGATATAGTGAACACACTGTTTCCTCCATTATATAAGGAGCTTTTCAACCCAGATTCTACCACTGGCTGCAAGTAAAGGGGAAGACGGAATTGTCGTATAGTCATGGAATGCATCACTGTTAAGACAAAAGAAATGTTTTCATGAAGAACTTATTAAAAATGTCACTACTGCAACACTAGGAATGTCCTGCACTTAATAGAATTATTTTTCACCGCTACAGTTTGAAGAATGTAAATATGCACCTCTGAGTGGGGTTCTTTTTTTTTTTTCTTTTATTTACTTTTTTCTTTTTTTTTTCTTGTTTTTCTTTTTTTTTTTTTTTTATAATACAAAAGGAGGTCATTTTTTTGGGTTTTTTTTTTTTTTCTTTTATTTACTTTTTTCTTTTTTTTTTCTTGTTTTTAAGCTGACCATGAATATACAAATATAGGACACTGGGTTTTACCTTTTTTTTATTTTATTTTACTGGGATATGTTTTGGGAGACAACTGTTCATAGAAATTTATTGTAGATATAAATGAGAATAGAGCAGTACTTTGCAGTATTACTCTTGCTGTTGATCGTTCAAATATAATTTAAGAAAATTCCAMTTATTAGGCTTGCCTATTCTTGTTTTTAGATAGTTTAATGCATGTGGAAACTTGTAGCTGTCTTGGAAATGATTGTGCATGTATGGAACACACATATAAATATGTATATGTGCTGTATACATATATATATGTATGTATTATATGCATACATGCTATATGTATGTATTATATGCATACATGCTCTAGCTTAAAAATACCACGCCTACTTTTGAAGGATGCTCAGCCAGGCTCTCATGCATTTCTTACTCTCCAGGTAAAACATTAGATTTAATTTGGTCAATCAAGATTTACTTTGCCAGTCAGAGTTAAACCATCAACTGCCAATGTAACAACAGGATCTCTTCTGAGACGTGTAATGTAGTACATCTGTGCAATCTGTAAATGAAACATCAGGAATGTATCAATGGTGCAAAAGCCTTGTCTGGAAGATTCAAATGGAAAGAGGAAAAGGGTTTTTTTTTTTTAGTTTTCCCCTGTGATAAGAATAGAGTATATACAAAAGTAACATGACAAGACTTAATGTCAGTAAGATATCCAAAACAGAATAAAAAGTTATCCCACCCTTACATATACATGAATATATATATATATATATATAAAGGTTTTGTTTTATATATTTCTCTGAAAAGTAATTGCAAGACTTGTTTGATTTTTGCTGAAGTCAATGGAAAGGCATATAGTAATCTCTGTGAAAACCACAGCATGCCTAAAATGTAGCTCTGAAGAGTAGCAACCATAGGGGAGAAAGGAAGGGAAAAGAAAGTTCAAAGCAAGCAAAAACCGTGATTACAAAGGCAACCATAGCTAGCACTAGATATGACATAGCTGTCATATAGATGAGCCAATGGTTTCCATTCTCTGTATACATATATATGTATATATGTACACATATGTGTACATATATACATATATATGTATATATACATACGTGGTTGATGTATATACTCTTCAGGAGAGGAGCAAAGGATCAGGGATTTCTTTTTCTCTCTCTCTGAACTGACTTTGTCCATTTTCTTGCAAAACCAAAGGCCAGGACAGATCAAGCTCTGATCTGGAAACATGCAGGTGTAGATTGAATTGCAATTGCTGTCATCACTTAAACCCTGTCAAATTCTGATTCATGGTTTTAGATGATATTTCTATAGATTACAGAGCACACACCAAGCAAAGAGGAGTGGGAGACAGCTACAGACTTGCTCTTGTAAACCAACTAAATTTTGTTAGGATTCATGACTAGTGCTTCTGAATGCTGCCAGAGCTGCCAGTCCAGGTCCAGTCCAGGTTCTTCCTACCTATGGAAGAACAGAGTTTAGCTTCCTCCATGATTCTGTGMTTACCACCCCTTTTATCCTGAAGAAACTTTCAAGAGAAGTCTCATTTGAGGTTTCCAAGGGCAGAAATCATGGGAAATGGGCAGCAGAGAAGAGGTCATGTGAAGACAGGACTTAAAAGCAGATGTATSTGTTTATTTCAAAACTCCTAGAAGTCAATGCAGTCTGAGGTACAGCTAGGAGGAGGGCTTTTAGGGAGGCCAAGACGGGCTGTGTGCAGGGTTGTGCAGCACCCCAGAGCCATGGGAGCCCCCAAGGACACAGCCAGCCCAAGACACACGCAGAAAAACAGGTTGTTGCAATGATGAAATAATGCCTCCCAGGTTTTCCAGAGACCCCCAGAGCTCTCATGTCCATTTTCTGTTCTTCTTTCGGGAGGACCAAATAATTTATAGGCTATTCCAAGGCTATTTTATAAAGTTTTCCCTCGTCCTCCATCATGAGGTTCATGAGACATGTGCCACAACAGCATCCAAACTGGACAAATCAACAGTTGTTTGTCTGTTTTTTCTGCCTAGCAATCCTTTAGGTACAACAGCAGTCTTAAATCCTAAACTTGCAGGTGTTTCTCTGAAARTCCATTTCAACTCCAGAAAAAAAAAAAAGAAAGAAAAAAAAAGAAACACACCAAAATCATTTCAGCTGAAAATAATTTTATTGCAAATGTGATCACATCTGCAAAATTACAACAGCAATTTCTAAAATATTTGTTTTACTCCAAACTCAGGGCACATTTTCTGATTTCTGCTACTGACATTAAAATACCATAAGTTAACATAGATAAGAATGCATTGCTGTTGGTTTTTCTTTATACCACTAAATTCTAAAAATGGAACCCTTCTTTTTTTCCAAGAACAAGAACACACATCTGTATTTTTACTTGAAATCCTCTTAAAATAGTTTTAGTATATTAGATGTATCATATTTATGCAGCCTACAAAAATACAGATTAGTTGATAAAAATTTCYGTCCCTAGTGTTAGTAAATAAAGAAGCTTTCGTGTGTTCATATATGGCCTTCACTGTTATGTGCTCCCTCTTGTAAATATTTTATTCTTTTCAAGTCAGATATCTATTTTGGGGATTTTTGACTTAAGGTAACTAAATGAAGGTGACCAGTGAAAAAGTACTTAATTATCCTTATCCTAGTACTGTTCATTACTAGTGTGTGAAACCCTTCAAGTAAATTCCTAGAACTAGCATTTGCCACATCTGGCCTGTAATAATGGCTAATCACAGAATCACAGAATGGTTGAGGTTGAAAGGGACTTCTAGAGATCACCTAGTCCAACCTCCCTACTCAGGCAAGGACACCTAGACCACGCTGACTTTTTCATAAAGCTCTTGAAAGGAGACTTATTTTTCAGTAATTAACACCAGATTTTTAACAAAAAAAAAAAAAAAAAAAGGATTTTAAATATATACTGCATCTTCTACTTCTAGCATTGTTTCCAGATAATGCAACCACATAGATCTAAGTTATCCTTGGTGTCAAGCAGGCAGATGTAGACTGTTCATTACACTACTACAGGGACTTAATTTTTGGTGTAAATGTCACTCTTGCCAGCTCTTTGTATAAAGAATTAATTCCAAGAGTCATATTTTCTCTTAATGGGAAGACTGTTTTAGTGATTGCTAGCAAAACAGGGTAATAGAAGGCATTCTGTTGAACCAACTTTTTTCCAAAAGGAATATGTGTTTTATGATTGTTTTGTGATAGGCAGCATTTAGGATCTGATTCTGCAAGATGTCAGGCTCCCTGAGCTCTGACTAGAGCTGTTAAAATTGGAGGCACCTCAGTTCCACACAGAAGGTGCTCAACCCGTATAATGCCAGAGACCCTCAGCATTATGAGGTCCCTTCAGAGCTTTGTGAAGCACAAGTCAGATGTTGTCCTCATGATTACTTTTCAATGCTTTTACTTTAAATTGTTTGTTTTGGCTCACAGGCCAGTTTATTTTCTGCATTGAGTCTTAAGCAGCGGCATTTGTTCGATGCCTGCATCCGAGGGTAGGGTGTTGCAAGTGGGGGAGCTACATGACCTGTCTGTGAACGTGAGCTTTGTTATGTGATTGTCTCTGCTGTCGTGGGAGCAGCTTGAGTCTGTTTCCTTGTAGGTTAGTTTTGAGGGGATTTCTGTCCCAACATCTCTTGCACAAAGAGGAAATAAAGCTTTTCTCTCATGCTCTCCTCTCCAACTGCAATGTCTCCAAGTGGTTCACTTGGAGCAGCCAGCACCATGCAGCTGGTGCCTCACTTCCCTTTCTCCTCTCTTTCTCTCCTCTTGCAAAACTGTGCAAAGGCACTTGAGCTGTCACCATCTTCCTTCCTCCCTACAGTTTTTGTGTTGGTGACGTTGTTCCCAGCAGAGGCAAGACCTGACCTCAAAGATCAGTTCACGTTTCTAGCATATATTTGACATCCCATGATAAAACACCAAACAGTCTTTTTGGTCCAAATACACTGTGTCTAGGTCTATGTATTGAAAGAGAAAGACCAGCCTCCTTTAGGAACAGTGTGTTGGAGAACCGGTCCTCTTTCCTTTAAGTTTCACGCTTTGTAAATGACAATCACTGCTTGATGCAGATGTTGCACTGTATGCCACTCAGGGACGTTTCATTATTAAAAATAGCTATATAAATATAATGGTAATAATTAGGAAGAGAATTTTAGAGGCTTTGAGGGGCACAGGTTGAGCTGCCCAAACAAACGTGACCCAGACAAGGCTTTAAAGCCAGCGATTAGAATCAACATTGTTATAAACTGAATTCACTGTCAGTGTTTCCTCAGCTTCATGCAGGACTCCTATCACACATTGTTTCACAGTCACTGGAGCATTTCTGAGCAATCAGTTTATGCTGTGAAAGGCCTTTTGCAGGCAAAATGCAAATGAGCTCTATATGAGTTACTGAATTTAGACCGTTGACAACAGAAAGTGCTGTTTAAAGTTACTGAGTTAAGGTACTATTAATGTGAGTTCATATTCAGGTTTGCTGCAGGTATGTAGGAGGAAAGACTAAGATATGGAATAAATGACAGCATACTAGGAATGAGAGCCACAATTTTCTGAATTACTACATGGAGAAATGCCTATAAAGAGCAAGCAATACAAAATGAAGTGGCTAACGGCTATCCCTTCCTCTCATGGACGCACCAAGCCACAACCGTCAGCCAGACTTTTCTATGGTATGATAAGGCCTCAGCTATTCTGCTGCAAAGGTGAATAATACTGCTTTTTATACCATGCTACTAAAAAATACTCCCATTTCCTAATCATGGGAGATTTGAAATGCCCTTCCGTTTGGCCCCAGCTCAATGCCAAGTGTGGTCAATGGACCTA